AGTCTCCAATATTCCTTTATACATAATTCTCAGAATACAATAAAATACATTATAAACATATGAAGAAAGAGGAAATTGTGAATCAGAATCAAGAGAAAGAGTCAATAGAAGCAGACTTGCAAATAGGCAAGTTATTGCCATTAGCAGGCAAGGACTTTAATACAATTATTAATAATTTGTTAAATAATTTAAAGGAAAAGATGGATGTAATTTGTGAAGAGATGGGACAGTTCAAGAGAAAAAAACAAATTCTAAAATAGAACTAAGTAGACATTTTAGATCTTCAATAACTGAAATAAAAATTCTAATGGATTGTTTTTTCTTGCAATTCCCAATCTGCTCTTTATATCATGATCCAGTGACAGCTCAGTAAAACAAAGTTAAAACCAAAATAAAATATCAGAAAAACTAAAATTTGAAAGACTTATATGGGGGCACCTGGGTGGCTCAGTTGGTTAAGCGTCTGCCTTGGGCTTAGGTCATGATCCCAGGGTCTTGGGATAGAGTCCTGAGTTGGACTCCCTGCTCGGTGGGGAGTCTGCTTCTCCCTCTCTCCCCTGCTCCTCCCTGTGCTCATGCTCTCTCTCTCTCAGATAAATAAGTAAATAATCTTAAAAAAAAAAAAAGAAAGACTTATATGTACTGGAGATGATGTAAAGAACAACAGTTCAAACATAACTGGTAGGAGTGTAAGTGAAATAGTAAATCATTCTGAACAACCCTTTGCACATACTAATAAGATTAAACATACCCCTATTCTATGTTCTAGTAATTTTACTCTTTGGCTTACATGGCCAAGGGAAACAAGGGCATGTATACACAAAAAAGATTTATTCATGATAGCCCCAAACATCCACCCATAGTATAAATGATTATAAGTTGTGATATATTCAGAAAATAGGATATTCTACAGCAGAGAAGAAAGAAAATTACTGTTCCATGTAACTACATGGATAAATCACAAAAACACTATACTGAGTGAAAGGTACAGGACTCAATGTACCTACTGTATGATTGTATTTATATGAAATTCAGAAAGGGAACAAAACTAATTTATGGTGACAGAGTTTAAGATGGTGTTACCTCTGGGTGCATAGTTAGTTATTTACTAGAAAGCTTTAGGGGGAAGCTACTGGGGAAAAAGGGTATGTTTTGATCTGGGTGGAGGTAATATGTGTATATATATGTAAAAATTCATCAAGCTGTACACTAAGATTTGTGCATTTTACTGAATTCAAATTATATTAGAATAAATAAAAGGAGGGCACATTTTGGCATCAGCTATTAGAGCAAAATGAGAAGTTCTGAAATCTTCAGGATTACACATCTAAATAAAAATAAAATAACAAAATAAAACTAATAACAAAATAGTAAAATAGTAAATATGATCTGCTTAGAAATGATCAGAATATAGGATAACATCTATTAAGCAACTACTCATACCATATTTTTTTTGGGGGGTCCCTCATTTGAAATAGTTTATACACGCTAAAATCTTGGTGTCTATAATAAAATCCTTGAGGCTACATCTCCTGGCCATGGGACCTGCCCCTAGTAACTTAATCTCTGTGTTTCTGTGTGCTCATTTGTAAAATGGAGATAATCATAATATCTACCTTGTAAGATTATTATAGAACAAAATGAGAAAATATCTATAATTAGTAGAGTGCTAGAGAATGAGTAGATATCAATAAATTCATTATTTTATTATTATTTGTAGTGTTATCTAAACCTGTATCCTTTTCAGATATAAATATTGGTTAAAAATAGACCATGTATCTGTTTCAAAGAAGGTCATAAATAACAAGAATTCTTTCATAATAAAGTATTTCTGAGGATTTATTCTAAAAAGTAAGAAAAGATATGTAAGGAGGCAAACTCATTCAGATGGAAAGATCTGGGGAAGGGAGAGCACTTTATACACATATATGCATGCATGAATATATAGACAATTTTATAAACAATATGTTGAAAGTTTTCACAAAATTGAAGATAAAGGTCATAGACTTTAACATTTGGTTATGAAAAAAATTCTAAATGCATGTTTGTTCTTGTCATTATCTAACCCTTGTTTACAGAATAAATTCCAAAGTCCTTAGTATGACAGTAAAGGTCTTTATTTGGCCTTTTTTTGGAGAAGACGATCCCTGCCTGCTCTCTTTTAAAAGGTCCACAAGGAAAATTTGCAGACTCTGTTGAATCTCCAATGCATTCCTTTACCATGGCATTTTGTGTTTTGCGATGGTTCTTTGCTCTTCTTCCTTTTTTGCTAGACTATGACTTCCTTAAGGGCAATAGCTCTATTTTCATCAACTTTGTATGACCAGAAATTAGTGCCTTGATGAGAGGAATATAGTAGGCACACCAAAACTATTTATAGCACGAATAACTATTTATTAGTCTAGAATTAATAAGAGAAAGTGGGGGGAAGTCAGAGAACATACACAGCTGTCTAAAATTATCAGAAACATTTCTTCTTTAAATCAATATATAATATGAAGAGCAGGAGAACCAGCATCTGCCTAAGGGAGCACTGGGTGTTATACGCAACCTAAGGGAAGAATGCTGAGAAATAAAGATAGAGCAACAGTTCTTTATTTACCATTTTCAGAGCAACAAGCAGCTATTTGGAGCCATTCATCAATGATGACTAGAAAAAAAAAAGATGACGATGATGACGACTTACTACAGGGGAAGAAAGAGAGGAAAATAATTTCTAAAATCCCATTATTGAAAGGTAAAAGTTTCCATGAATATTGAAATACGTATAAATCGGAACAGTTCTGAATGATAAAAAGCAAACAAAACCCCAAACACAGGGTACAGAAGAGGGTGACAGATTACAAGGAAACAATGACATGGTGGAAAATTGCTAGATTTATAAAAAAAAATATATGGATTGTCTACTGGAGTGTAAGTGATATTGTTCAGTTGCAGGACAATTTTAAACATGTATTATATTTATCATTTATCACTTTTTAGGTTCTCCTATGAACTACTGGTAAACGAAAATGCTGGATTTACCTGTGTGAAAGTGCCAAGTTCTTCAGAGCCCTTGAAAATTGCTGGAGAAGTAAAGGAACCAAGTAAACATGCTCTTCTGAGATTTAAGTTTCCTGTATTCAACACTTCTGTCTACTCAAAACTCTTGATTGACACATCCTCCTATCATGGCATTTGCAGCCTGCTGGAAATCCTTTGTCTCTGAGAGACTGACAGGCAACTTTATAAAAGGTGTTCTGTGAAGTGTTTTTTAAACTTACTTTTGGTGAATACACCTGCCTTCTTCTTGAGAAAAAAAAAAAGTTCAACTCTTGATCCTTTTCTTTATGGCTCAGTACATCATTTTGTTTGTTTCAATTTGTCTGATATTGAGACTGAAATTTTGAGCTTTGAAAGAGAGTCAATGTTTCTTTCCCCATCTCTAATCTCCGGTTTTTAGGAGAGGAAGAAGATGAAGCCAATTTCTAAGCATACTGAGTGTGTTGTAGATTTAAAAGGGCCACATGTTCTTTATAATTATTTCCATTGAGAGGGAGAGCAGAATTCCCCCTCCTGAGTGACTTGTTTGATGAAGGAACAGAATGCGGCAGCCTTCTAAAGCTAGGGGAGGTGGGTGGGGGGATGGGGTAACTGGGGGATGGGCATTGAGGAGGGCACTTGATGTGATGAGCACTGGGTGTTATACGCAACAACGCATCATTGAACACTGCATCAAAAACTAATGATGTACTGGATGTTGGCTAACTGAATTTAAATTAAATAAAAAAGACTTCTAAAGCTAGGTTATAGGAAGCTTTCCAGACTCTGCCTTGGTCTCTCGGAACACTAGTTCGTGGACCCCCAAACTGCCTCATAAGAAGTTAACTCTCCTGGGGCAACCATGCTTTAAGAAGCCCTAGCCACATGAGGAGGGCTCTGGAGGATGGGACACCATGTGGAGAGAGGCAGCCAAGAGCAGCACAGCTCCAGACATGTCAGTGAAGACACCATCTTGAATATGGACCCTTCAGCCCCATCCTCCAGAATGTGGACCCTCCATTCCCAATCTTCTGGGAATCCACTGAGCCCTTGCTGTATTCCTGACCAACAAAATCATGAACAATAAAAAATGTTTTCTTTAAGCCACAAAAGCTTTCAGGAGTATTTGGTTGTGTAGCAATAGTTAATCAGAACAAATGGGAATCTACTAAAAACTTCTTAAGATATTAAGATCAATCTTGCCCTCTATTTGAGCTTCAGTAGAGCATTTGGATAAATAATAAAATAATTACTAAATTATAAGGGCCAGAAATTTGCATGTAATAAGGTTACCCAGAGAATGTTAAACTAAAATACACCTTTTGATTACAGAAATAATAGTGACTAAAAATTGATATTCTTCACATTTGTCTTTAATTTTCACCCAACCAAGTGTCAGCATTTCTAACTACCTAAAAATTTCTGCAGAACAGTTTGTGCCTTTTTGACCTGGTTTAGAATTGATGAGAGAAGAGGATGTCAAGTTCATAAAAATGACAGATGCTTCTGTCATTAGCAGATGCATTAATCTCTGTCAGGATAAAACCTCTCCTTTGAAAGATAAGTTAAATAAAATTCTGATGCTGAAATTCCATTCCAATTGAAAACAAGCCTTTAATACCTAAATGTTCATTTGGGATGAAATTGTTTTGTTCTCTTTTACTCCTAAGTGTAGACATTTAACATAAAAAAGTCACATTTCTGCTAAACAATAAAATTCCCAGTGAATGTAAAGTAAACCATGAGAGAAGGAATACCTGTTATAAGTGAGAACTGTTTTCTTCCGGAGAAAGATTCTTAAGTTTTCTAGACAAAAACATTTAGTCACCTTTGATTTTTCCTTTTTTTTTTTCCTTTTAATAAAAGTATTTTATTGCTTCTTTTAGTTTTCTGAATCAATATAAAAGTGGGGCTCAACAACTGAATTTCATGAGTTATTGACAGGTAAAAGAATGAGAAGAAGAGGAGTAGCTCACTCACCCTGATCACCAATGACTAAAAGAAGATGAAGCATTTTGAAACAGGGACTGAGGGAAAGTATGGTTACTTCCCGACCTCAAAAAAGCAGTTCATGGCTCCCGACACAGCCATGTCATGTTATATACAGCCACCTTACTTAGAGAAGAGGTGATCTTACAAGTGAGTACACTGGAGTTTCAGGAGACACTGTTCCATGAATACTGTCATGTTTCTTTATGGTCAGAGCTTTCTGAGCAGACATGCCAGCACCCAGGGTCAAAGGATGAAAGAATGGCACACACACCCTGGAAGTTAAATTGAGATACCTCAAGAGAGAAAGATTGACAGATTTATCACCCTGCCATAAGAAACCTCATGTGTTCTGTCAGCACAAAGTAAATACAGGTGTAAAACCTTCACAGGACTGGGGTCTATGGGGTAAAATCCCCCAGCCTTGTGGTGAAAGTTATGTTGTTTGTGGCTTGGAACACCCTGCGTCTGCTTAATCAGATTTCTAGTCTTATTCTTTTTCTATTATTTCTGAAAAATAAAACATGTTGATAAAGGCAGTGGTATTTGCTGGAAAATGTTATTGAAGATAAAAATTAAGCATTTTTAATAGAATTGCATAAAATTTTAGCTAGACCCCCCCCCCCATCCTCTGTGCAGGATTAGAATTTGATTGCAAGGGCAGAAATGGGCACCAGTGGAGTGGAAAATTATTTCTCCCACTTACATGAAATGGCTAAGGTCATGGGGGATGAGATGCAGGTTTTGCCAATTTCACATCTCTAATCTTGGCAAAGAGCCTTGTGTTAGCTAGTTTTAAAACACTTGAGTAGAGGTAAATCATAGGAGTAGTTTGTCCTAAGACATAGTTTGTATTTGTGTGGTTTCTGGGACCATGCACCCATCCCCAAACCTCATAGATGCAACATAATGATGAAGTCAAAATAAAATAACCTGTAATCTAACCATATTTAACACATCCATCGCAAAGTAATGTCGTCAAGATAGAAGAATAATGTTCTGTGTGGAGGCTAGAATAGGAGGCATTTCTTACAGTACCTCCATCATTTCAGGGAGACTGGCAGACTGGAGTTTTCTGAGCTGTTTGGTAATTACTTGTTTACACTTAAGAAGCCAGAGCTGGTCTGGAGTTACTGAAGGTCAAGGTCAAAGTCATACCTCAAATAGTTTGCTTTTTGTATAACCCAATTCTCTCTCATTTATACTTACATGTGTGATGGATGTAACATATAAATTAACCATTAGTTATTAGCTGTGGCTAGTCACTTTTCCAGTAATGTCAAACTTGCTGCCTTCAGGTACTGCTCCTCCAGTTTAGTTGCAAAGCACACATCTCATGGCAAAGTTCAAATAGTTGAGTTAAAATAAACTGCCTGTGTACTGGAGTGAGTTCAAGGCACTGCAAACTTCTGATTATTTTTATTCTCTTTCGTCTTTTTAGCCTGATCAGTAGTCACTGATGCACATTCATAAGAATGCAGTTTTTTTATAATTGCTTTTGCACAGAATGCAAGGTTTTAGTTTGCCCTAGTTGATATTTTATAAAATATAATTTAATAAGTTCCAAAGGTGGAATAGTCCAAAATATTTTGCTCTCTAAAAAAATGGCCATATATGCACTCTGATACTAGTTTATTCTAACAGCACTAGGACTGAAGCAGGAATATAGGAACGTGCATTGAGTGAATGGTCTGCAATTTCCTGTACCAGGGGGAAGGAGGAGTAGCCACCTGGGATAAAGGCTTGTGATCCACGGAGGCTCTTGCTTTACTCTTTTGACTCTCAGACCCCAGAGCTTGATGGCGATATGGCTTAAAGTCATCATCTGTTTTAATTAACTCCAAACCTGTACTTACCAGACATGCCTTTTTCCTGAATTTTGCTTCTAGAAAGATTTTGGATCTTGAAAAAATTATGAGGCCAGTCAATATGCCTTTGTAAATTAATCAGCACTGTTTGTTTGAGGAGTCATTGGAATTCTGTGCCTTGTAAGATTTGTTAACACAGATCAATCAGTCTCAAAATCTGCTTAATTAATCTCAAAATCTGCTCAAAACCTCTTGATAGGGTGGAGCCCTAAGTTTGTAAGGGTCACTGATGGACCCCAGAGCTGTTCAGATTTCTCAGAAGTGTACACCCTCTTAAATCAAAGTCTTTGATCTGAAACTTCAAACATAGGAGAGATTTGAGAGCATGGATTAGGTGATAGTACAGTGATACACAGAGACATGGTTTACTTCCATAATCTGGAAATAAAAGCAACCTTTAAAGGAAAGTACCACCACAATTGTGCAGAGTTGGAAGAAGAAAGAAACAATCAATAGTATCCTTGCTGATATCCCGAAGAACCCTTTTAACTTGGCGTTGGTTTTTCTGTGTGTGTGTTTTGCTATTATTATGAGGAGAGAGGTATTTCCCCCCCGTATTGCTTAGTATTTAACAAATATTCAGCTTATGCTAAAAGATGAAAAAGTGGCTGGTGGATGGGCAGAGGAGTAAAAGGGATAAAATGATGCATGACACTGAATACAGTGAAGCTAGAAATCCACAGAGCTAAAATAAATGAAAAAGGTGCATTAGGGAAGAGTAATTAGAGGGATAGAGCAGATGGAAATGGAAGGGAGACTGAGCGGTCAATATAAGCAATGCTGTCTAAGTCAGGGTCATGCTCCTAACGCTGAGATCCCTGAGCCAGAGCATGAGCTCAGCTAGGCCCTCTTCTAGAGCCTGGGTGCCCAGCACTGAGCAAGACAGTGATGGCCCTTGTTCTCATGGAGTGTATTATTTAGAGAGGAAGGAGACAAGGAGAGAGGTATATAAAAAAGTAAACCATGAAAATACCAGATTCACACAAACAGAATATACCAGAGAAAGGTATATGAAACATTTTATCAGAGTGATAAGGATTATCTGATGGCGATAAATGGAGAGGTCAAGGAACATAACGTGGAGGGAATGGCAGAGGTTGCTATTTAAGATTGGTGGTTAGGAAATTTCCAGGGAGGACCTCTGTGGTGAGACCTGAAATACAAAAAGAGAGTCAGCCATGAGAAGATTTCAAAGACAAGTTTCCTAAGTTCAGGTGGCAAGCAGGGCAGAGGCCTAAGTGTGGGAATGAGTTTGGCAGGCTTAAAAAACTGAGCAGAGGCCAGCATGATGGGAACAGAAGGCAGAAGGGCGTCAGTGAGGACAGAGTGGGGGTTGGCAGGAGGCAGGGCAGCCAGTCATCGTGTGCCAAGGTATGGAGTTTAGGTTTTATTCTAAGCAAGCTTGGAAAACTCGGGAGTTTTAAGAAGAGAAGTAACAATGAAGCTATACATAAGCAAAATTCTGCTTATTTTTTGGAGTTTATAACATACTAACTCAAACAACCACCATTTGGGTCTTCAAAAGTCAGTGCAGAATCTTATCCAAATGGAGACTAAATATCCTTAGATGTTATTTTAAGACAAAGACGAATCTGGACATTTCTAAAGCAATTTCTAGTTTTCTAAAAACCACATTTACAAAATGAATCTCTCTGAAGCCATTTTGCTCAACTGTAAAATGGGGATAATGGTACCTACTTCAGAGTTGATGAACCTCAAAGGGCATAATGTTTCCCAGGTAACAGTGCAGAGTAACAATGAGCAAGACTAAATTGCTGTCATAATAATGAGTCAAAGAAGATAAATCACTTTGACTTTTCCCCCTTCCTTACTAAAATGACTTCCTGTATGAAGTGATAAATGGCAGAAGTGTCTGGAGACAAAGGGACCCTTTTCTAAATCAAGTGCACATTGCCTAAGGGGCAGGGGTAAAAGAAAGGATGGGTGATTGTGAGCAGTAAGTTTCTTCCCTTCCGAGCTCTCTCTGCATCTTAGCCTTCTTAAAAGAATTCTGCTTGTCTTACATAGAATATGAAAATATGAACATTATTGATATTGGGGAAACATACTGATAACTTTAGAAATCATGTAATTATTTGATATTCTTAAGTTCTATATAATAGTAGATTACCAGAAAAATACTATAAAATATATGCAAATTGATATATTTCATTGTAAACTTGGTTTGCAAAAGCAAAATAATTTCTAAAATTACACATTAAGATTTATTCATAAAATCTCTTTTCTTTTAACTGAATAATTAGCTCAGTAAATATTTTGATACAATGTTTTTTCCATTTAACCACAAATCTGAATTTAATATTGAACAGATTAATTGAGAAATGGGAAGCACTTGGAGGGGATCAAAGAGTTTCAAAGTTCTCTTCTTTCAGTTTCTAGTCCAAATACGCAAGGGGTTTTGTAAAATCCTTGCCCTTGAGATTCCAATTGGCTAACAAGGAGGAGAAATGAATTCCAGCAGACTTTAAATAGACCAGGGTTGCTAATGAAGAAGAGTTGAAAAATTTATGTTAACTTCAGCTTTCAAGCTCATGACTTATATGATGATAACTTCTCAAAACCAATACTAGAAACTTGTAGTCTAAAGCTCATATAGTTCGTATCAAATTGTTCATAAGTGGGGGAGACAGAGAAGAACCCAATGGCAGGGAAAGTAAAGAAAAACATTAAAAAGAAAAGTAGGTTATCAGTATGTTAGAATGGCATGAAAACTAGGAGGCAAGTGAAAAAGAAAATATTTCAAAGGCTACACAAGGTATGGCTTTCCCACTTCCCCATTTTCATAGTATTATGCCCCTAACATTTTCTTACCACCTACCAAGATTCTCCTTTTTGAAATAGGTGATGGAGCCACTTTGGTGGGTATGGGAGGGAAGGGGACATAAACTGGAGGCTGATTGTGGTGACAGAAAGTTGATAGATTAGACACAGAAAGCTATTACATTGTGGTATTTATTTTCACTTGCATATGAACTTCTGGCCTTGAGCTGTTTTTGGCTGATGTCAAGTTGACATCATCTGGCTGATGCCAGAATCAAGACACAAGAATCAAGGCAGGTTCCTATTTCTGTATTTGCAATTCACCCACAAATCTGAGATTCTATTTGGCATCTACGCCTACTTCTCCCTACATGGATAAAACACAGAAGTGTGATGTTTGTGGGAATTTAGGGGATGGGAGCTGGGGAAGACCTGATCAGAAAAAGGACAACAACTCCATAGGAGGCCTGAGTGTAGGGACAGGTTTGCTTTCAGGTGAGGCATATTCTCAGTCTTAAGAGTTTCCACTTGAGAGAATTGTTCCCAACAAGTTCTCAATAAGTATTTGCTAATTGGTTAACATCACAGGTAAGAGCAAGCATTCTAGGAAAAAAAGAGAAAAGCTGCTGCTTCTTTTCTTTTTTTCCTGTTGAAGGCTCTCTTTTTATATAATAGGTCCATTTAAAATAAAATTTTATCCTTCCAATCTTAGACTCACCAATTCCATCAGAATTGATCCTATCATGACTGAAGTTGGCAATAGAGTAGCAAAAATGTCTACCTGTGCATGATGGAGAAGAAAAACTCAATCTCTCAGCTTTTTAAATCAACCTAGAGACAAACACATACCGATTTAATCCGAATGAAATAAAATCCTTCATGGAACAGAACTCTAAATACGGCATAACCCTTGGCAGCTTCCGACATGAGAAAGGAAGAGGGAAACAGACAACTGGATGTCAAATTGAAGGCAGCTATCCTAGCAAATCCTGGCATTTCTGCCAGCGCCCGGTGGTTTGCAGCTTGCTGCAGATGTGACTCTGTCGCCACCTGGGGGCATGATCCACGGAAGTCTCCTCGTCCCCACCATCTGTCAAAGAAAGGCTGGCAGTGCTTCTGGTGCCTGAGCGAGGCTGCGGGCATCTTTTCCTGCCTCTACTGCTTCTATGGTTCAACACCTTTCGATCTAGAAGGCGTCTGGACTCAGCACGTACTGTAGGTTCGACAGTGGTTAGGATGCTAATAAACGTGGAGATGGGGAAAGTAGACAAGCCAGCAGCACTACATAGTGGTAACAGATACCTTTATTGTCCCTTAGGACACTGTGTTGCCCATTTGCCTTGTAATATCCATAATCACAGGCTACTTCCTGAAGACGGATGCCTTCAGTAAACAAGCACAAAGGAGAGCTCCAGCACACAATTCCCCAGATGATTAGCAGTCCCCTCTTAGGGATATCGCGGGGTAGGAACATAGGTTTCCATGACTTGCAGGAGACTTGCTGTGAATCAGAAAGCAGCACGTGGTAGGGAAAGAAAGGCAGCTCAGCCACAGAATTCAAGCATGTGGATGCCTTCCTTCTCCTATATAAATCTCACCATGGCCAAGAGAATGCTACAGCTATTTTACTGGCTCTTTGAGGCTCATCTTGGTATATTTTACCTGCTTAAAAATAGTTTCTGTTGGGTGGAGGGAGGGAAGACACCAGTCTCTTTCTAGGTCCAAGTCTAGCTTAGGCCATCCCCCCTCCAGGACAAGGCTGTCCTAGGTGAGAGCTCCCCATGCCTGGAGGCAAGACAAGCCTCTCATCTGGGCTATCCAAGCCATTAGAAAGGATCCTCATCTTCTGCGTCCCCCTCCTGGAAGAAGGAAGTTCCCAGGCCTAATCTGAAAAGGGAACCATGTGAAACCAGAGCACCCCAGAAAGGGGACTGCTGACTGGAGATGGGCTGCAGATTTCTTATGTTAAAAAGAGTGGGACTTTATAGTTTACCTTTCCAGTGAGCATTTATTCTCTTGGTTGGACCAGCAGTCCACACACTTGGGTATTTTATTCCTACAGTTGCCCATCTATCACTAGGCACAATGGGTTCAACTCTTAGATTCAGAAATAGCTCTGACAAAGCTGCTTTATGCCAAGTCTGCATGCGTCAAATGACATAAATAGTCAAGCAACTGCATGGTGGGACTCATTGTGGACAGCTTCTGTACTCAGCTGGCTGAAGCCACAAAGATAAGGGCTGCTGCTGGCATCAGGAACGCTGAGCATGTATTTTCTGCTGGCAGATGTCCGGTGACTTGTGAGCAGGCAGATAGAAGAAACCTTTCCCCAACACACTGCCACTCAGAAGGAGCTAGCAAAGTGATGCAAGACTGATTAAAAGCCTGAAGAGGCTCTAACTGAGCAAAACATCAGCAAACTTAGCACGGCCCAGAACGGGCATACAGCAGAAGTATGCTGAATGGAGGTGGGTCATACATGTTCACAGGGTCAGCTAGACCTTTGCCCATTGTCTTCTACAACACTCCAACAACAAAGAAGCCTTGGGTTACAGTGGAAAGGCAGGTGCTCCCGATTTGGACAACAGTTAACTGAAATCTCAACTACAGCATGCTGAGTGTGAACTCAGGACATGTTACTTCATCGTTCATGGCCTCAGTTTCCATATCTGTTGAATGAAGAAAAGGATATCAATATTCTGAGAGCTGCTGTGAGGATTACATTTAAAAGGACAATGCAAGTAAAATGCACAGGATGGTAGTGAGCGGACAGAAGCATGGTCAATAAGATGGAATTATTACTGGAGTGACACTTAAACAGAACACCCACAGGCATCCAAAAAAGCTAATGGCAGGAAGATACGTCTATGATGCTTCAGGTTGCATTCATGTTGTGCTGCCCTTCAACCTTACAGGGATTTTAAATAATAGACATTACACAGACAGGAAAACACTCTTAATTTCACTAGTATAATTCCAATAAAGTTTCAGTCAGGAAATACTGCAGTGCCTGAAAAAAAAAATGATAGGAAAGCTTAATGCAAAATCACAAATTTGTACAAGTTGTACAAAATACAACTTAAATGAACTTACATTAATTTTAGGACAGTATGCAGGTATGTAATTAGGTTCAGATGAGCTCTCTGCATTTCCTTGTTTCATTAGTATAATTTCACGAGTATTACAGAGAATGCCACTTCATCCCTGGGTAGTTGCCTCAAGACTCGGGCCGTTTTTCAGCTGTCTTAAGTTAAAGAAAAGAGCAGCCCCTGATTTCTTTTCTTCATTAATGAAATCATTAATAATTCTTAGTTTGTAACAGCTCTTCCCAAATGACTATCCTTACTGCATGTTAATATATTTATTGTTCAGGAAAAAAAAAGCTGTTAAAAGAGGTAAGCCACATAATGTAGGAAAAATAAGCTATTAAAGCAAAGGTTTATGAAGGCCAAGAAAACAGGAGAGCAGAGATCAATTCTGAATTGTTGGCCCTGTCAAGGTTTTTAACGTCGCAAAGTGCCATCAATTCCTTTCTAATGAGTCTGACATTAAGATTATATGTTATAGTCAAGGACAGTGCATTCACGTTTGTCACAACATTAAGCAATGGTATTTTTTTTTGAGGGTCCCCAAATGTCCTCACTAAAAGAGACTGTTACCCTGTATAAAACCCATCACTAAGGCAAATGCCTGGCAATCAGTTCCAAATAATGGTGGCGATTTCCTGGCAATCAGTTCCAAATAATGGTGGCGATTTCCGACAACAGCTTTCAAATCAACTTTGAAGCAAACTTTAGTCCTATTGTGTCAAAAAAGAAAATCAAAGTGCAGAACAGTATGTACAGTCTGCTACATTTCATGAAAACCCAAATTAACCCAAATTAAAGGCAGTTTCTGACCTGTTCTTACTTCGGTTTGATCACAAAGCTGAAGAGATTGAGGAAGAATGCTTCTCCTGGAATGTAAATTATTGAATAAAGAAACCATTCATTTTTTAATCAGTTGTGAAGGCCAGGATTTAAAGCATAATAATACAAACAGTATGCCCATAATCCCTTATTAACTTTTCCAGTCTATGTAGCAAGCACATTTTGGTGAGTAGGACTGCTAAGAAATACATCAGGTATGGCTGAAAGGACACACCACCACCTCTTCAGGGTTTTTGAAAAAGGGATTACTGTTATACCTGTGTTTTATTATAAATAACCAGGTTCTGTCATATTTTATCTTCTTGCCAGCAAATGAAGGACATTGTTTCATAAAGCTTCTAAAATGTACATGAATATTTAATTAAATCATATTTCCTTGAGAAAATAAAGTTCATTCGCATTTATAGCAGACAGTTGTGAGGAGTACATAATTGTCAGAAGACCAGGGTAGCCAGTACCGGTTGCTTGTGGAACAAAACTCCTCAATTTTTAAAACTTTTTTTAAAAAATAAACATACAATCGGAAGTGTTTCTTTACTTTAAAAATTCTAAAGATGAAGAAAATTATTGTCTATATATTTAAGTCCTTGTATAAATTACAAAACTCAAGTTTATGTTACAGAGTCCCTTCCCCATAGGAAGCATAAAGCACTTTTGTGGTACCTTTCACCAGTAAATAGTTGTATCACATTGAATGTAACAAACAAAATAAAAGTCGATATTGCATCTTTAAGCCTCAAGAGAACATTCTTCTAAGCTGTCTCTCATGATGAATGAGTTTCAAAAGTCATTTGATTGCCACGATTTAACTCAATCTCAAATAAAGATATATAAAAGTAATACATAATTGACTTCAGTAGAAATCTGAAATATCAGTGAACTGCAGACTCTTCTTGCTTGAGGTCAACAAACACCCTTTGGAAGACAACCAAGAGTAGTTTAAGACCAGGATAACAAAATAAAATTATAACAATAATAATTATAATAATAAAAATAACAATAATAAAATAAAAATAACAACAACCAACAATGAGGTAAACTCCCCTTTAAAAAGGCAATATGTGTTGCCCGGACTGTCAGGAGAGAGTTCGATTGTACCTGACACCCAAATGTTTTTCCAACCAGAGTTCAGCCAGTTGCATGGTTGAGGCAAAAGTACTTGCCTTGGATCCTAAGCACATCTTATACTGCTTAGGATCCAAGTTAGGGTCACAATGAACTGCATGAAAAATATGCACCACTCCCACTTCTTGGCTTCTGAAAGGCCTTAAGCCAGACAGAATAACTTTATTGTAGAGATCTACATCTTCCAGTCCCCAGCCTTGTATTGAGGTATCAAATCCCCCTGCACCCAGAAGATCACTTTTATAAATACAGGTAATTCCATATCCATAGTCTCTCCAAAATCCAGTCTTCTTTGAGAAGACAAAGTCATCATCAGTGGGAGGATTTCCCCCATTGGTTACCTTTGGGTCATACTGGCTAAAGATGATGGGGTAGTACACCTGTTGTCCCTGAATTGTATTGTCTCTACACCGTTGGAGAAAGTCTCCTCTGAAGATCAAGTCAACATCACAAAATAGCAGCAAAGTATCATTGTCAAACTGGGAAGAAGCCACTTCAAGACCGAGACCTCTGGAGAACTCTCCCTTCATGGGGATCAAAGTAATTTCTGCTTTAGGGTAGTTGTTCTGATACTCTCTTATCAGCTCAATATGCTTGTTGGAATCTTGGCCAGAATCCCTACTGAAAAGGGTGATGACCAGCTTTACATTCTGCTTTGGAATAAGACAAGTTTTTTCAAAGTTGTCCATGAATCTCAAGAAAATGTCATACCTTCCAATGAGAGGAACAAGAATGTGTATTTTCTTTTCATTATGCCCTCCCATTTCTTTGGCACCTTGAAAAGAAGATAGTATCTTTAAAGAATTAGATATAAAGGAGAATGACTGAGTGTCGCTGTTAATACTCTCCACAAGGCTGTTGACGTCTAGCTCTTCAGTTTCTCTGAAGAAAGGCTTGCTGAACAACTGCTGAAGATAAGCATGACGTCTCACTGGCACAGTCAGTTTCCTCCCCTTGTGTCTTTTATACAAGAGGAGTAAATCCAAAATGTATTCCACCCCATGCATGGGATCAACCCTGCGGTAGCCATACTGAATTTCCTTGAAGTCAATGAGCCGTCCCCTACTCTTGGCGTTTTCATTGATCATCTCCATCACCTGTAGCACGGTGTCATCCAGTGCTGTTCTCAGGATGCTGTTGATGTTCTGTCGAGGAGGCTGGTTCTCAGATGCTGAGTAAAGGAGTTTCCCCGTCAGGAACTCCCATTCTATCACTTCATCTCTCTCCCGAGGCTGGAAGTGGTTGAAAGAAGGCATTACTCCCAGCTGCTGGTCCTCTTTACTCACTTCGCTGTTACTGAGCTTGCTCATCAAAGCACTCTCCCGGTGGAGCTGGATGGTGCGGTAGCGAAGTTCAGAAATTTTGCGGCTGAGCATGTAATTATGAAGCCTGTATTGGTAGGCAGGCCTTTTGTTGGGGTGAAGTGTTATGGCTGCATGGATTTTGCTATTGTGAAGGTCTTGGATATAACCCTTCCGATTATGTTCATAATTTTCATGGAACAGTTGTTGCATCTGAAAAGCGAAAGAAATCAAGATGTTAGAATAAATTTAAAAAGAAAGAAAGCAATAAATGAAAACATTTAAATTATTTAATAGAAATTAGTTATATGGTATTTCCTAACAAAAGTCGACTTATAAAATTTATATTTAAGCAAAATTAAAATTGTTTTTTTTTAAAAAGATTTTGTTTCTTATTTGATAGAGAGAGAGAGAGAGAGTGCAAGTGAGTAGGAGCAGGCAGAGCAGCAGGCAGAGGGAGAGGGAGAAGCAGGCTCCCCACGGAGCAGAGAGCCTGACATGGGGCTGGATCCCAGGACTCCAAGATCATGACCTGAGCTGAAGGCAGATGCTTAACCGACTGAGCCACCCAGGCAACCCTGAAAATAGTTTCAAAATATCAGATTCATATGCTCAAATAATGCGAATTAACCTCCTGTTATATACAAACACTGCACACTAACCTCCAGTTATGCATTTTGAAGTAAAAAATCTTTGCCTCTCTATTCCTTTTGAAATTGACCCAAAATATCAATGAAAATAAGAATTGAATATACCCAAAACCCCATAAGGGATCATTGTGAAGGAGGGGCAGGGTGGGTAGAGCATGGGTTTCCCAAAATAGAGGGTTCAGCCTGAGGAGTAAATCCCATGCCATGTTGCTTGGAATGGCAATAGCAGACCCGGAGAAGATGTAAGTTTTACTGAGCATTCTGATATAACATCTTTACAGAGTAAGTTCTTGTTAACGTAAGGTGTAACAGAAATTATACTGATCTACACTACTGATCTAAAGGATCATGTCCAAAATTAGACATGCTTGACATCCTTATGAGCCAGAAAGTTTGACTACTAGTATAGAACAAGTTCACTACTTTAGGTAGAAACAAAATGAGGAAAAACGTAAAGTTATAAGATCACACTTCAAATTGCCAGCTGAGTCTTCCTTCTCTGTCAGTAAAGAAACCTCCACCACACCTATTCAAGAGAAGTACCAATGGAGAAGGAAAAGGAAAAGGAGGCGGAGGAAGAAGAGAAGGAGAACTACCAGCAGCAGTAGCAACATGAGATATCCGTAGGTATACTGATGAATAAGAAGGAAAAGAATATTGCAAATTTAAGAATATATATCCAAAGCAAGTAAAAATGACAAATCAAATAAAGAAAATACAATCTTCATAAAACAAGAACTCAAGGAGTAGATACATGAGCTTGAAGAGAAATAAAACCAAAGATGGTTACATTATAAGAACCAAGAAATAGACTTGTGGAAAACACAGGAGGAAGAGACTTGACAAAATTTAGCAAAATAATGGAAACATAAAAGAGAGGTTAAAAGTTTGAGATATAGAGGTGCCTGGGTGGCTCGTTCAGTTAAGCATCTGAATCTTGATTTCGGCTCAGGTCATGATCTCAGTGTTGTGAGATCAAGCCCTGTGTTGGGCTTCCCACTCAGTGGGCAGTCTGCTTGAGATTCTCTCTCTCCTTCACCCTCTGCTCCCCCTGCCCTGCGCATGCTTTCTCTCTCTCAAAATAAGTAAATCTTTAAAAAAAGTTTGCAAATACAAATCTTTGTGTGTGTGTGTGTGTGTGTATATATACACACACACACACATATAAATATATATATATTTATATGCATTCAAAAGCTTGAATATATATTCAATACACATGGACATATATTAAAGAAGGTAAGATTACATATGTAAAATATATCTGAGGGCCATATTTCTCTTATAATAAAGGCAGATATAGATCTATGGGCAATGCGGCCAAGAGAAAAAAGAGCAAAATAAATAAACAAAACCCAATTTGGCTGTAAGTAGGAAAAGAATGAATCGTGTCACATTTTCCATAGCAGCAACAATGCTGAAAAACAGTAGAATACAGCCAAGGAACACCCCAAGGAAGAAAATCAATGACTAATTATTTTATATTCAATGAAGCTAGAGCCTGGCTTTATCCCAACCAAGCCAGAGCTCACTTTTTACTGTAAAAAATAACTAGTTTCTAACATGTAAGAACTTATGGCAGAATAGTGGTGATAAATTCTCTGCCACTCCTCCCATCGAGAGATGGGGTCTATGCCCCTTTCTCTTTTTTTTTAATTATTACGTTATGTTAACCACCATAAATTATATCATTAGTTTTTGATGTAGTGTTCCACGATTCATTGTTTGAGTATAACACACAGTGCTCCATGCAGAATGTGCCCTCTTTTATACCCATCACCAGGCTAACCCATCCCCCCAGCCCTCTCCCCTCTAGAACCCTCAGTTTGTTTTTCAGAGTCCACAGTCTCTTATGGTTCGTCTCCCCCTCCAATTTCCCCCCTTTCATTCTTCCCCTCCTGCTATCTTCTTCCTCTTCTTCTTCTTCTTCTTTTTTTTTTTTAAACATATAATGTATTATTTGTTTCAGAGGTACAGGTCTGTGATTCAACAGTCTTACACAATTCACAGAGCTCACCATAGCACATACCCTCCCCAATGTCTATCACCCAGCCACCCCATCCCTCCCACCCCCCACCACTCCAGCAACCCTCAGTTTGTTTCCTGAGATTAAGAATTCCTCATATCAGTGAGGTCATATGATACATGTCTTTCTCTGATTGACTTATTTCGCTCATATGCCCCTTTCTCTTGAATCTGAGTGATTCTGTCACTACTTTAACTAAGAGACCACACTAGAAATGACACTGTGCCAGTTTCCAGATTGGCAGCTTCCACTTCTTGTCTTTGGAACACCCACTCTACAGAAGCCAGCTGGGAAGTAACAAGTCTGAGTTAGGTTTCCTTGTTTTGGGCCAGGATCTTCAGGAAAATGTGGTATAGCACAACCTTGTTCCAACCCCAGACTTAGTGAAGAAGTCATCAATATCTTTCTTTAGGACACTAAGTTCCTTTTTATTTCTAATTTGCTAAGAGTTTTATCATGAATGACATTTCAAGTTAATCAAAGGGTTTTTTTCCTGCATCCATTGAGAAGGTTATGTGATACTTTTTTTTCCCCCTGTTATGGTGAATTACTAATGTATTTCCAATATTAAACAACTATTGTATTCCCTGACTAAACCCATCATGATCCTGATATTATGTCCTCTTTATATATGGCTAGATTATATTTGCAAATGTTTGTTTAAAATATACTGTGAAAAAAATTCTTCTCAATTTGATATATAGGTTCAAATGCAATTCAATACAAATCCCACTCTTTATTAAAAAGAATATGTTGCTTTTGATATTAACAGGCTGATTCTAAAATTTATATAGAAATGAAAAGTCAAGGATATTCAAGACAATGTTAAAAAAAGATACACCACAGATTTAAAAAGTTATAGAAATTTAGATAGTATAATATTGATACAAGGATAAACAAATAAAACAAAGGACCAAAATAATCCACAAATAAACCTACACATGACTTATGACATCACTCGATTTATGACAAATAAGACACTGGGGAGTGGAGAAAGGGTGGATCTTTCCCATCAATAATGCAAGGTCAGTTGGTATTCATGTGGAAAAAAGTAAAAACTGACCCCCTACATTCCCCCTGCCAAATCTATCCCAGATGGATTGTTGATATAAATATAAAAGGTACAAAAATAAAATAAGCTTTCTAAAAGTTAACATAAAAAATATCTGCATGACTTTTGGTTAGGTACAGAATTCTTAAATATGACACAAGATACCAACCATAAAATCAGATTAATGAAATGGACTACATTAAAATTAATAACTGTTCCTCAAAAACAACATTAAAAGATTATAAAAGGTAAACTACAGAGTAGGAGAAGATATTTTTACCAGATCTTACCAAAAAGGACTAATACCGAGAATATGTAATGAGCCTAGACAAATTAGTGAGGAAGAAGGACAAACCAGCTGAAAATGGGGGAAAAAAAGAAAACAAAACAAAAAAACCTGAATGGGGACGTCGCAAAAGAGAATATGCAAATGCCCAATAAACATACAAAAACATTCTGTAGGTCATTCCTCATCAGGGTGATGCAATTTAAAGTCATAATGTGATAATATTACAGACCTACAAGAATGCTAAAACTAAACAGACTGATAATACATTGCCAGAATTTGGAACTCTCACACATGGGTGATGAGGATGGAACTTGGTTCAACAACTGAGGAAAATTTATTGACTAAAATGACCATATACATTCCCTATAACTCAGTATTTCTACTCTTAGATATATACCCAATATAAATATATTCATACATATACCTAAAAATATATATAAGAGTTTTCATAGCAGCATTATTCAAAATACACCCAACTGAAGGCAACCCAAATTTGTATCAAGAGTAGCATACATAAATAAATGTCCTATATTCATATGACAATACATCAGTTAAAATAAATGAAATATTACAACAATGTGGAGAAATCTCACAATGAAACAAGACATATACAAAGCAATACATTTTGTTTGATTCTATTTACATGGAGTTCAGAAACAGGTAAAGCTAAGCTATGCTATTAGCTGTTAGAATAGTAATAAAAATTCAAGAAAGTGGGTTGAGAGCTCTAGAGTGTTGTTAATGTTCTATTTGTTGATGTAGGTCATGGTGACATGTATGTATTCGATTTGTTAACATTCATCGAACTGTTACTTAAGATATGTTTGTTTATTATACTCCAGTTATTGAGATTTGGTTTTGAAATTGTGATAAATATGTATGTAGAGTTAGGTAGGTTTTTCTGATATGTATGTACATAAACAAGTGTGGATATGTGGATGGAGAGATGGGGGGGGGAAGAGAGAGACAGAAAGAGAGAGGAGGAGGGGAAGGAGATAAATCACAGAAGTTTAACTAGAGAAGGTGACCTAAAAGGAGTAAGACCAGTACTACCACAGATTCTTTATCTCCGGTATTTCATCTGAGATACTCAGATTTTCAAATCACTATCAGAAGAATATAACAACAGATATTTAGAAGAGGATTTTGGACTTGATTCAAAACAGAAGTTCAACTGCATCCAATATTTTTTTTCTC